GTTGCTTGAAATTATTCAGAGGAGAAAAAATTAATGAAAAACAATGAAAAAAACCTTCATGAGTCATAGAGCACCAACAAGCAAATCAGTATATGCATTATGAGCAGTCCAAAAAAAGAGAAAAAGAGGAAAAAACATTTATTTAAAGAAATAATGGCTGAAAACTTTCTGGATCTGGGAAGTTATGTGGTTATCCTACTATATGAAGTTCATATGTCCCCACACAGATTCAACTGAAAGAAGACTTCACCAAAGCAAATTATAATAAAACCGTTAAAAAACAAAGACAAAGATAATTTTGAATACATCAAGGGAAAAGAATGGAACACTCATAAGGCTATCAGCAGATTTCCCAGTAGAAATTCCCAGGCCAGGAGAGAATGAGATAATATACTAAAAGTGCTGAATGGGGTTGGGGTCAGGGGGGACAGACTAACAAAAACAAAAACCTGTCAACCAAAAATATTTTATTCAGCAAAGCCATCCTTCAGAAATGAAGGCAAGATAAAACTTTTCCAAATAAAATTTGGGAGAATTCATCACCACTATATTGTCTTACAAGAAATAATAAAGGGAGTTTTTAAAGCTGAAATGAAAACATGTTAATTAATAACATAAAAACATACAAAAGTATGAACTGTTAGTGATAATTACACAGTTGAATTCAGAACATTCTAATACTATAATAGTGATATGTAAATCACTAAACCCTAGTATAAAAGTTAAAAGACAAAAGTATTAAAAATAACTTTGAAACAATAATTTGTTAATGAATATACAATGTAGTAAGATGTAAACAGTAACATCAAAACATAAAATGGGTGGGAAGTATTAAAAAGGTGGAGTTCTTGTGTATTAAAATCAAGTTGCTACAGGCTTAAAATACTATTAAAACTGTAAGATAGATGGGTGTGGTGGTACATGCCTGTAATCAGGAGGCTAAGGCAGGAGGATCACAAGTTCAAAGCCAGTCTCATCAATGGTCTCACTAAGCAACTCAATGAGACCCTGTCTCTAAATAAAATACAAAATAGGACTGGGGATGTGGCTAAGTGGTTCAGAGCCTCTGTGTTCAATGTCCAGTACCCTCCCATACAAGAACATAAGATATTTTATGTAAGCCACATGGTAACCATAAAGAAAAAAACTTACAGTGGATAAGTTAAAGAAATCAAAACAAACCACTATAGAAAATCATCAAATCACCAAGGAATACAATAAAAGAAGAAGACAGGAATAAAAGAACTACAAAACAGCCAGAAAATAAGTTACAAGAGGACAATAAGTCTTTACTTATTAACAATTACTTTAAATGTAAATGGATTAAATTTTCTAATCAAAAGACACAGGAAGTCAAATGACTAAAACAAAAACAAAACTTAAGTATATACTGCAAGATTCACTTCAGCTTTAAAAACACACCTGGGGCTGGGCATAGTGACATGTCTGCAATACCGGCTACTTGGGAGATTGAAGCAGGAGGATCATGAGTTCAAAGCCAATCTTAGCAACTTTGCAAGGCCCCAAGCAACTTAGTGAGATCCTGTCCCCCCAAAAAAGGATGGGATGTTGGGTGGTGTAGGCTGGGGATATAGTTCAGTGGTTAACTGCCTCTGGGTTTATAACCAGTACAAAAAAAATACACACACATGGGGAGTAAGAATATAGCTCAATAGTAGAGCCTAGCACACTTGAAGTTCAATCCCTAGCACTGTCAAAAAAAAAAAAAAAAAAAGACAAAACACACATAGGCTTATATTCTATGCAAATAGAAACTAAAAGAGAGCAGGCATGGCTATACATACTATCAGTCAAAATAGTCAAAAATGTAAAAGGAGACAATGAAGATCATTATATGATAATAAAGGATTCTATTAATCAAGAGGATATAATGACTATAAACATATACAAACCCAAGGTTGGGGCACATAAACATAGAAAGCAAATATTAATGTAACTGAAAAGAGAAAGAGATAGCAACACAACAATAGTACAAGATTTCAATTAAAATCAATAAGAAGTTATCAGACTTCAACTATACTTTAGACTTAATGGATCTAACAAATATATACAGAACATTCCATCGAAAAGCAGCAAAATACACATTCTTATCAAGGACACATGGAACATTCTACAGCATAGATCATATGTTAGGCCAAAAGAAAGTTTTAATAAACTTATGAAGACTGAAATTATATCAAGTATTTTTTTTCTGATCATAGTGGTATGAAACTAGGAATAAATATAGGAGGAAATTTGGAAAATTTATAAATATGTGGAAATTAAACATGTTTCTGAACAAACAACCTATGAAAGAAGATATCAAAAGAGAAACAAAAATATCTTGAGAAAAAATAGAAATATGAAATACCAAATGTTATGAATATAGCAAAAGTGGCTCCAAGATGGAAGTTTATAACAATAAATGCCTCATCAAAAAAGAAAGATCTCAAATAAACAAGATAATTTGATACCTAAATGAACTAAGTAAAAAACAAAAAGGTAAGCTCAAAGTTAGCAGAAGGAAAGAAATAATAAATCCCAGAGTAGAAACACATTAAAGAATAGAAATTCTGAGAATCAACGAAACTAAGAGTTGAATAACAAAAAGTACCATAGTCAAAAGATAACTGTTAGTTGTAGGAAAATATTTGTGATGTTTATTAGAGATGAGTTCAGATGCCCATAATAAAGATAGAGCTTTTGAAAAATTGAAAAGGGAAAGAACATAATCTGATAGGAAAAAATATAAACATGACTCTCAAACCAATAATTCACAAACACGAAATATTTTAAAAGGACTTAAACATACAAAATATATGTTATAACTTCATCTCAAGTCATTCCTCCTCTCATTCGTTGTATTCCTAGAATATTCTAAACTTTTTTCCTCCGTAGAAGGAATAAAGTTTAGAATATGTGATGCTTGTTCACCTTAATGTTCTACCCCCAACAGCTCACCTTCTCTCATTCTTACAAGCCACCTCCTCAAAGAAGCCTTCTCTGGATCCCCTATCCAAAGTACTATCCCTCCACCACAGCTGATGTTAATTTATTTTATCACAGCATAACCTATACTATCCAATTTGAATATCAGCTTCCTAAGAAAAAGTGCTTTGTCTGGTTTGTTCACCATCATATCCTCCATGTCTAGCAGATGCAAGAAAAGTGAAGTAATTACAGTTCAGGAAACAGAATACTAAGTTATGGGATTTGACAGCGAAATCACCAGAGTGAAGATAAGTTTCAATATGAAGAATTACAGTGAGTTACTGAAAGGAATTAAGGAGGTTCAAAGAATTGATAATAAAACGTGAGGTAGGTTATCCACATTTTTACTTAAGTTATAAACCACAATATCTCTCAGTTTAAGCACTATCTCTAGTGGATCTAATTCTCTTAGTAACCTCCATTTAATAATTTATTTTTATTTATTTTTATTTTTTGGTACCAGGGATTGAACTCAGGGGCGCTTCACCACTGAAAGTCCCCAGCCCTTTTTATTTTGAGACAAGTTCTCACTAAGTTGCTTAGGGCCTCACTAAATTGCTACGGCTGGCCTTAAACTTGCAATCCCTCTACCTCAAGTTCCTGAGTTACTATTTACAGGCATGCAGCACAGCACCTGGATTAATAAACCTTTTTTAAAAAACTCTTTGAGACTTCTCTTTTATCCCTCCTTCTTCTTTCATCCAGTCATCCAATTCCTCTGGCTGTATCTGCTTCCTTCTCCATCCTACATCGTCAATTTACAACATTAATGTCAATCCTTTCCCTCTCTAGTGATTATCAAGCCAGAATCTAAGACCTGAATAGGTTTAAATTTGAACACATGACTGTGGACCCACCCTTTCGATTCAGGAGGACTATGGTGGAGGCTCATTTCAACAAATGCCCCAGAAGAGCTGGATACAGACAATCCAAGAAAAAAAGAAACACTGATCTGGAGCAAACTCCTTTAATAACACCCTGACTACTTGGCAGCCTTTTGTGATTACATATTTTCCCAATCAGTGAATAATAATAAATAATAATAATAAATAACCACTTATTTTTAGGTGGGGGAATTTCATTGTTTACATTAAAAAGGGGCCCTTATACTCAAAAAAATATTGGAAATCACCATTTTATAGTAAAAAGTCCAAATTCCTTAAAATGACACACAACTAATACCTCCCATGGGCTAGATTTCCAAGCACACCTCTCTTACACGACATTTATGATTTTTTTCCCTGATGATTTTCCTTATAGCTTACTCCTAATACGATCTCAATTTATCATAACAATGCTTCAATAGCGTTTTAAATTGGGGGAATTAAAAGGATAGCTCAAAGATCAAGTAATTCAACTCCTTAATGTCACTGAGGAGGACTTCATCCTTTGCATATCATTTATTTCCTAATACTAGAATTTAATAGCTTAAGACCAACAAGGATATAAAAGTTCCTCAAATTTTTTCTAAGAACTTTCACAAAGCAAATTTCAATTTGATTCTCCTTTGCCATTTAGGTCCCCAGGCTCTAACGGTACCGCTATATACATTGGAAAACTCCCAGAAGTTTCAGGAGGCCAATAATTCACTCTGCAGACAGACAGAGATTCTGCAGATTCACTATGTAAGAACCTTGGGAATGAAAACAAAAGTAGCTAAAGTTTCCAGACTGTAGCCCTCTAATCATTTAGATGAGATCCCAGAGATGATGATAAGGACAGCAGCTAACATTTATTGGCTCCTTGTTCCTGCACTCCCCTAATCACGTTATATCATCAGCCCCTTTAGCTGTCCCTAAGTAAGGTGGGTAGCAATCACTGTCTTTAACAATTAGCAAATGAGGCTCTGAGAAGTTAACTAACTGTCCAGGTGCCAACGAGTAAACTGCTCAGATATTACCGACTTCCGGCTGCGGGCAGGTCTCCCCCGCCCTCTGCGCTGGCCCCAGGTTCTCGGCCCCCACCCCCTCGGCTAGACCCCACCCTTCAGTCACCAGGCCCGCACTCACGTTCAGCAGCCTATGCCCGGTGGTCTCCTTCTCCTTGTCCGTTACCCCGGACGACCTCTCAGCCTCCTGGGCACTGCGGAAGTAAGTGGTCTCTGATCCTCTCAACTCCACCGGCTTCCCATCCGACGTCCTCAGGTGTATGGCTTCCGGGATGGCCAGGGTACTCCTCTTAAGTACTGGGTCTGTGAACAGGGAATGGACCCGCCCGCTGCGGTTATCGGCTGCGGTGGGAAGTTTAAGGGTCCCGCTGCGGGTATCAGCAGGGAGCGAGGCGGGAATCTTCGGGGTGTCCTGTGGCTGCGCCATTCCGCCATGCTCCGCAGGGGCCTGCCTGTGCCTGCCTAACCGACAGCCTGCTACTGCGCCCGCGCAATCGAACGAGCTCGCGCAGCCTTTCGCGCGCTTTGCTTCTCGCACGTGCAGCCACGCGGGCCCTGATGGTTCTTGCCTGGATGCTGCCAGGGCCGGGCTTTGCAGGCAGGCAAGTTTAGTGAGCCTAAACGCAGCAAGCACTAGCCGGGGCCATTTCTGTCTCCTTTAGGAGGAAATCGGAGCATGCGGTTGGCAGCAAGCTGCTCAGAGCTGTCATCCGCCCCAGTTCTGTCTGCCCCAATAAGCAACCCTGGTGAACCCTCTTCTCCCTGCACCTTTTCCTTCTAGGAGATTTAAAATATCAGTCATCACTTCCTCTGCACTATCTCCTGTGCTCCAACAGCCTACTTGGATAACTTTACTTGTTACAAAAGACACATTAATACTTTATATATTGCTCTTCCCTCTGAACCTCTAGTATGGTTCCAAACCCACTTGTAGTGTTTTTAGGAAACAAGCTGGTCGAGAAGCAGCAATTGGTATTTGGAGAGGAGAATTCCAAACTATTTTATACCTGTGGGCTGAGAGGAAAACAAAACTCCAAAATCTGAGCTCCCATCTACAGTTTCTCACAACATTTATAGGCTATATTGTGTCATAAATTATCTAGTCCAGATTGTCAATGGGGTTTCTAGCAGGAAATATGTTTACAGAAGCTCAGTGTGATAAGGGGAAGAACTGGCTCCTCTTACAAGGCCTTTGATAAATCTCTAGGCTTGGGCCCTGAGCCTCCACAGGTGCATTTACAGGTTAAAGTAAGTTGTTAGACTCCCAGGGGAAGTTATCTACAATCCAAAAGGTAGGGGAAACTTCCAGGAGAAAGGCTGAGAGGGGAAGGGTAACTGACCCCTTCCATAGGCATTGGTTTCTTACTATAACATAATTTCATTTCACAACCAGGTCCGATTTTGCCATCACAACCATTTCATGGTTGTTTCATGCAAACAACCATGAAAATTCCGACTTTTTTTAAAAAAAAATTTGAATCCTATTATCTGAACTCAACTTTTTCTTTTTAAAAAACGTAATTTGGGACCCTCACACTCAAGACTATTGCATAGATGAAGTAATCTTGTTTCTTTAAAAAAAATAAAATATCTAACCTAAAGGTAATCAAACTTCTAGACCTAAGCTCCAGTCTACTGAAACTTCTGTTTGAAAAAAAAAAAATTAAATGACATTATAGGGGAAAAGTCAGACAATCCAAAATGTGAGACACTCTAAAACAAAAGTGGCTTGGACTGTTAAAAAAAAAAATTCATGGCAATGTGTAGCATACAAACAGCCACTCTAGAAAACTTTTAAAAACTTACACATGTAACTACCATACAACCCATCAGTTACACTCCTGGGTATTTATCCCAGAGAAATGAAAACTAATATTCACACAAAAATCTATATACAAACACTTATAAGTTTTATTTGTAATAGCCAAAACCAGAATCAGCTTAGATGTCCTCTCACAGGTAAACAGTGCAGTACAAAATACCTTGTAATACTGGTCAGCAATGAACCATTGATACACACACTGGGAGGAAATTGACAGGGAATTATGCAGGGCAGAAAAAAAGGCAATCTCAAAAGATAATATACTGTATGATTAAATTGATAATATTATTGAAATGACAAAATTTTCAAAACAGAAGACAGATTAATGGTTGCCAGGGGTTAGAGTCAGGGGTACAGGGGTATACTGCAGAAGTGAGATGGGCATGGTTAAAAATAACAACATGAAGGAATTTGTGGAATTGTTCTATATTTTGTCCGTGATGGCCAATACACAGATTTACACAAAAGGTACAACTCTATAGAAATTAAAACTGAGAAAATCCAAATAAGATGGATTTCAACATCCTGGCTGTGACATTAATACTATAGTTTCACAAAGTGTTATTGGGAGACACTGACAAAGTATACAAAGGATATCACTATATTATTTTTTTATAATCAATTGATTCTGTTCGTCTCCATGAAAATTCTCATTAAAGAATGTTTTGGAGGGGACTGGAGTTGTGGCTCAGCAGTGGAGTGCTCACCTAGCATGTGTGAGTCACAGGGTTCAATCCTCAGCTCCACATATAAATAAATAAAATAAAGGCATTGTGTCCATCTACAACTGAAAAAATATTTTTAGGAAATGTTGCAGAGGGGGACAAAAGGTAAGGAAACCAATTTAAACAAAGAGATAAGGGAGACAAAACGAAAAATAAATGTGTACACCTTGACTACTACAGAAACAAGTGGGAAAATCTGAGAATGGACTGGATATTAGATATTATAGAATTATTGTTTTCCAACTGTTTTAGTACCATTGTACTTACACAAACAAGTGTCCTTATTTTTAGAGCCACGTGCTGAAATACTCAGGTGAAATGCCATGATTTTAGCAATTTATTTTCAAGACTTTGAAACAAAAAAAGAACATACAAAGAAAAGACAAATGATGCAAATTGTTAACAACGATTAAATCTAGGTTGATCTATATTAGTTACTGTTATACTGTCTCTCAACATTCTGTTTTGATCAATTTCAAATAAAAAGCCCTCAGGGTTCACCTGGCTGTGGCTTTTTCTGGGGACCCCATCTCCACCGGTAGAAATCCCATATATCCTATAAACTTCCTGTTCACAGTATCCTATTAATCTGACCCACAATTCCCTCCTAGGTTCTTTTACTCCTTTGCCTACCTATGGCTAACTACATTACATGAGCCTCTAGAAGGCTACCACTGTTTTTGTTTGTTTGTTTTTTGTCTTCCCACAAACCTAAACCTCATCCTTAGAGAATCTAATAGGTCTGATATTCTCATCTATAGCCATAGCGATCTGCCTTGACTTAGCCACAGTGAGTTTATTCCCTAAATCCTGGGGCATTCATTTGTAATAAAACTTCTTTCCTGCTTCCCAATCATCATAATCAAAGGAATCTTTAATAGACACTTAGGTTTTCCATGATGAAGGATTTGTTCAAGTGCACCAGTGGCTCTGATTTTGTACCTGCCTGGGGTCATCAGGAGATTTGAAGTCCAGGTCATATTTCCCAGACCTGAAAGAATTCTAAGACAACCATACTCATGCCAACTTTCCCAGTTGCATTCCATAGCAGCTCTAGGCTTCTTTATTCTCTAGGACTTTAAGAACAAATTTAGCAGCTCAGACAACACATTTGCTATCTTATAGTTCTGTGTACCAAGTCTAATGTGGGGTATCATAGGGCCAAAATCAAGGTTTCCACAGAGCTTCATTCCTTTCTGGAGGCTCTAAGATGTTTCTTTGTTCATCTGGGATGTTGGCAGAATTAAGTTTCTTGCAGGTTTGGGACCAAGATCTCTGTTTCCTTGCTGGCTATTGGCCAAAGGTTTTTCTCTATTCCTCTAAAGACACTCACATTCCTTCTCTCACAGACCTCTCCTGCATCTTAAAATCAGCAACATCACAACTAGCATCTCTCTCTTTGATCAAGACATAGAGGTTCTCTGCTTTTAAGACTCATAAGATTATACTAGGTCATCTGGATAATACAGAATACTCTCCCATTTCAAGGCTCATTACCTTAATCTCATCTACAAAATCTCTCTTGCTGTATAAGGTAATATATTCACAGATTCCAGGGATTAAGACATAGACATCTTTAGTGGCCACTGTTCAACCTATCACAATCCTCCACATCAGTAGCAGAGCCCCCATATTTCTCCTTGGTGACAGACTTCAGGTATGATAAGCCTCAGCAATAATGAGCATGGCTTCCCTGCAGTTTGCTGACAGGGAGGATCATGAACCCCTACACTGCCCACCTTGTTCAGCAAGAGAATCATGGCAGACAGCAGGGAAAGCTGGAACTGGCAGAATGACTTCCGAGTTGCCAGGGTTCACAGTTCTGTGACAGCAGGGCAAACAGCTGTTTAGCAGCTCCAGCCTTACCAATAGCAAAAGACATTTCTACATGGTGCTGCCTTCAGATACAGAATGCTTCTCAGGGCCATCTGTCTCCGTTATCAATTTATCAGTCCTCTTCTATTCCACAATCTTTATTGCTTGCCAATCAGTGCAAGCACAATAGTTTTATGGATGTGCTGAACAGCCTTTAAACCACCTCTTCACCCAGCAAATTTTATCATTGTCTTGAGCTGTCGAGTCTCACACATGCCAGGTGAGGAACCACTGGATACGCCCTGAAGATGCCTTTTTCAGTGCAGGATCCACCTCAAGAGTAGGATTTCCTAGAAGGCCAAAGATCTCTCCAACAAAGAGCTTAAAATAGGGATGGTGAATTTCTATCCATATTTCTTGTTACTCAAAACAAGAAACAAGAAAGGATACTGCAGCAGTCAATCAGAAGTGTTAGCTCAACAAGCTCACAGGCCTCCTGACTGGCTCAGCTTCTCTTTTGCTATGTATGTTTATTTTTGTTTTTTTGTTTTTTTTAAAATATTTTTTTAGGTGTCAATGAACATTTATTTATTTATATGTGGTACTGGGAATTGAACCCAGGGCCTCACACATGCTAGGCAAGGGCTCTACCACTGAGCCACAACCCCAGCCCTGCTATTTGTTTTTTAAAGCTCCCTAACCAGACATGGAAATCACTGGTACAAATTTCAAAGGGAAATTAACATTTTAGGTTATAAAATTTTTCAAAAAAAAAGATATTCTTCCATTTTATTAGCCATAAGAAAAGCATCTTTCAGGCTAAATTACATCATATTATAATTATTTCATGACACACAACCACTAAGCCAGATTCAAAGAAGACAAGTTTCATATTTCAATTTGTACAATAAGGAGACATCAAAAATAAATAATGAAGGCCTTTTTTTCCCTTCTAGCCTATTCCCTAAATTTAACACCAAAGTTGTGGGTTTTCCAGAATTAGTGCTTTTTCAGATAATGCTTATGAAAATAACTAATTTGAAAGAATAAAAAATAAACTCTTTTACCTGCTGGTTTCTGGCTCATTATCTCCTTTGCCATTAAGATGATAATACTATAGAAATTAATGTTTAAGTATAAATTGAGGTACAAATTTAACATTTTCCATAATTTTGAGAAAATTTCCAGTATTATGTAACAAAAAACAACTAAAAATACACGTATACATATCTTATAAAAATACACTTAAAAACAAAAATGGAAAAAATACTGCATCATTATTCCTCTGAACATGAGTTGGTATTATGAAGAGGCTTTGATTTCTGTATCAGGATATTCGTCCACATCAGAGAAGAACATTAACTCTGGAGAAGAAAATGAAGAGATCATATTTAAAAGTGGTTTCCTAGTATCTCACAAAGATTTACAAAGCTTAGTTATAAACAGTCTCTTAAAATATTGGCATAATACACAGTAACACAAACCCTCAAGTACAAGTAAGAATTCTTGACAGTGAAATCTGATTTAAAAAGTGAGCTAATAATAAACATACACATTTTACTTTTTTTTTCTTTTTTTTTTTTTTTAGTTGTTGATAGACCTTTATTTATTTTTATGGGGTGCTGAGAATCGAACCCAGTGCCTCACACATGCCAGGCAAGTGCACTACCGCTGAACCACAGCCACAGCCCCATATTTTACATTTTTAAATGTTTAAGTTTTAAATTTATCATAAAGCCTGAAATAAAACTATATAATATAATGGATACAATATATTAAATCTTAACAGGAAATTTAATTCACTAGACAAGAATTATTGTACAGATAAAAAGTCTAATTTTATAGTGATCATATAATTTAAAGTGTAAGGAACATATATGAAGGAAGGACTTGGAACTAATATTAGGTGTGTAGTAGGGTATGTTGAATGTGTTATTCCATTGGATCACCAAAACAATCCAATAAGCTAAGCATTGTCCTCATTCTATATTTATCCATATGGAAATAAAATGTTATATGACTCACATGGCCCTAAAAAAGAGCAGGTTTCTAAATATATTTACTGTACAATACATACTTCATGATTTAGACTGAATGTTGCACAAGCCAGCCAGATGCATCTTTAGTCCCAACCACAGCACAGAATGGTATCAGTTGACATTTTACTTAGCATAGATAAAGTAATTCATCAAAATGCCAAGAAATATAAAAAAGAAAACTTTGAGAATCTAGTAAAATAGATTCCTCTAATGTAAGTAACTAGATGAAAAATTCTTTGAATAATCAAAACTATACTGAGAGAAAAACAACAAAATATATAAAGCAGAAGACTTTAAAAAAATATTTTAAGTACATCAAAATGAATAAAGCAACAGGATATTTACTGGAGCAACTTGAAAATTGCAATGCAAAAAGGTACACTTATGAATGAAAATACATAAGAAGATAATAGTCTTTGTCCTGGTTTTTATAAATAAAAATGGTGGGAAGATTCTCCATTCTCACACTTCTGGGACAAACAAGTTGTATTAATTAATCAAATAAAAAATAATAACCAAATTCCAGAAAATATCCAGAAGAAAGATTTAAGAATAGAAATGTAGAACACCTGTCAAGGAAGTGCAATGTGCACTACTAAGCAGTTCCTAATGCATTGCTGTTGGGTTAGCAGTCTGCTAACACTCTTCTTGTCAGGTGTTCAAAAAGGGCCTGGCTGTAGAGATTAGTAAATCTCATTAGACACTGGGCATATTAAAGGCAAGATAACTAAATACTATGTTAGACCATGAAGGGTTAGGAATTTGTGCCAACAGCAAAGAAAACAATTAAGAATGCAAAGAGAGAGCCTACTGAATGGGAGAAAATCTTTGCCACCACCTGCACCTTAGATAGAACATTAATCTCCAGAATATATAATGAACTCAAAAAACTTAACACCTAAAAAACAAATAACCCAATCAATAAATGGGCAAAGGAACTGAGCAGACACTTCACAGAAGAAGAAATAAAAATGGCCAACAAATATATGAAAAAAATGTTCAACATCTATAAAAATAATTAGAGAAATGCAAATTAAAATTACTTCTATCTCACTCTAGTCAGAATGGCAATTATCAAGAATATAAGTAACAATAAATGTTGGTGAAGATGCAGGGGAAAAGGTACACTCATATACTGCTAGTGGGGCTACAAATTGGTGCAACCAGTCTGGAAAGCAATATGGAGATTGCTCAGAAAACTTGGAATGGAACCACCATTTGACCCAGTTATCCCACTTCTCAGTATATACCCAAAGGACTTAAAATCAGCATAGTACAGTGGTATCAGCCACATTAATGTTTATAGCAGCCCAATTCATAATAGTTAAGCTATGGAACCAACTGAGGTGCCCTTCAACAGATGAATGGATAAAGAAAGGGCTGGGGTTGTGGCTCAGTGGTAGAGCACTTGCCTAGCATATGTGAGGCACTAGGATCAATTGTCAGCACCACAAATAAATAAAGATCCATCAACAACTTAAAACATTTTTTTTAAAGTTTCTTTAAGGGGCTGGGGATGTGGCTCAAGCGGTAGCACGCTCGCCTAGCATGCGTGCAGCCCGGGTTCGATCCTCAGCAGCACCACATACCAACAAAGATGTTGTGTCCGCCGAGAACTAAGAAAAAATAAATAAATGTTAAAATTCTCTCTCTCTCTGTCCCCCTCTCTCTCTCACTCTCTCTTTAAAAAAAAAAAAAGTTTCTTTAAAAATGAGGTATATATACATAATGGAATATTATTCGGCCATAAAAAAAGAATGACTTTAGGACTTTTGCTGGTAAATGGAGGGATCTGGAAACTATCAATGCTCTCTGAAATATGCCAATCCTAAAAAAACCAAAGGTAGAATGTTCTCTCTGATATGCAGATGCTAACACACAACAAGAGTGGGAGAAGGAGGAATAGAAGTTCACTGGATTAAACAAAGGAGAATGAAAGGAAAAAAGGGGAAATGGGAATAGGAAAGACAATAGAATGAATCAGACATAACTTTCTTATGTTCATGTTGTTTGAACATAAGTGAAACTCCACAACATGTAGAGCCACAAGAATGGGATCTTAATTAGAATAAGTCATACTCCATATATGTATAATATGTCAAAATACACTCTATTGTCACGTATATCTAAAGAGAACAAATTTTTTTAAAGAGGAAAATCCACAAGCAAATGTTCTAAGAAGTCTGAGTAGAGTCTGTGAGCTACATTATGACTGTGTCCGGCTTTCCCAAACATCACTTCTGCTCCCCTTATACAAAGAAGTCAAAAGGCAAGCCTAGTTTCAAGGAAAATGTAATTACACCCCATCTTTCAATGAGAAGAGTAGCAGTCTTTAGAGTCATCTCTAACTTACCACATAAAATAAATAAATATACTAAAAAAATTTAAAGAATTTTTGTCAAGTAGAGTAAGTGATAATAATTTATTTGAATATGTATCTGACAGAGACAACATGGATAACGCACAATTTATTTTAAGTTTAGAAATACTTTCATCAGAAAGATACTAAGAATAGCAAAGAACAAAGAATTTCTATAAATTATTTGAAGATTCCAAGAGGAGAAATACCTCTTGATTATGCAAAAGTTCAGCAGATGCCCCCATTCACTTCCACTCTCCCACTCTCTAGGTCCTTCTCCATGCTTCTCCTGTCACTCTGTTAGACCACTTTATTTTTACTCTTTTTGAACTATTTTATTTTGAATATATCTTTGTTTTAAAATATTATAAGATTTATGAAATAATTAGAGAAGAATTCAGGATATTTTGTATCATTTTCTCTTGAATACCTTCACTAAGATCCATGCCTGGCCTGTAAGACAAAAAAAGCCAAGATAATCCAACAAGAAGAGCCACCACCAGATTCACCACAATCCATGGCTGGAGAATCTGTTCCTCAATTCCTGCTGCCCTGGAGATACAGAAACACTCATTAGAAACATCTTTATTTTGGTTTATATACCCAAATGCAGTTATTTTATGAATTTGGGGTGGGGGAAGCAGTAAAATAACAAAACATGAAATAAAATATAACTTCCCTATGAAATACACCGTATACATCAGGAGAATAAGGTTCAAAGGTTATTAAAACTGTAAATAGATCTGCTGTTAACATTAACATAAATGGAAAGTTAGTGTTCCCAAAATGTTTCCTAAAAGTTTCCCTTCCAACTACCATAGCCTTTTTCTTCAATTAAGTATCTTTCCCATTCCCCAAGCCACTCTCCCAAGGACTGTCCCTCTGAGTTTAAACTCAAACCTCAGGATCCTGTCAGCTCTATGTTTGGCCACTAATCTGCAAATGTTGGCTCTCCCTACTCTTCTCTTTCTAGCATGCTTGGTTTTTCTGAATCTGTTCCAACCACTCTTCCATCCAGTCCATCACATGATGACTTATTTTAAAGATATAATTTTTTTAAAAAATTTTTTTAGTTGTAGATGGACACAATATCTTTATTTTATTTATTTTTATGTGGTACTGAGAATCAAACCCAGTGCCTCACACATACTAGGTGAGCACTCTACCACTGAGCCACAACCCCAGCCCCCTAAATATACTTTTGAAAAGAAGACATTTTATTTAAAATGGAGGCATTTATAACAATAGCTATCAATTAACCAAAGGAATAGGGATTTCCTTTCCTTATTTTTGGAAATCAAAACAGGATTTTAATATTATTTATAAATGAAAATATAAAAAGAATGGAAGGGCCAGGCACAGTAGCATACATTTGTAATCCCATTGGCTTGGGGAGGCTGAGACAGAAGAATGGAGAGTTCAAAGCCAGCCTCAGCAACTCAAGGAGGCTCTAAGCAACTCAGCAAGACCCTGTCTCTAAATAAAATACAAAAAAGGGCTGAGGATATGGCTCCATGGTTAAGTGCCCTGGGTTCAATTCCTGAAACCAAAAAAAAAACATAGAAGGAAAAATTCCATTATTTCCACTATTGCTGTTATTACCATTAACATGTTACTATAAATTCTTACCAGAGGCTACCATTAACAGAAGAAGGCGTATAAAGGTGGATTCTGTCACTTGTCATTTGCTGACTCAGAGATAGTATAAGAGCAGTCAAGTACACTGAGAAAAAGACAGATAAAATTACTAATAATGTTAAACAACTCAAGTTTATTTTGACCTATATATTTCTTTAAGGTCAAAAATACTATATACTTTAGTGAGTGATGGTATCAAAGACATTCACTTGATCAATTTCAATAGAGAGCCTTAGAGTATTTTTCAAGAACACAATACAGTCCTTTAGATGCTATTTTATCATTAAAACTAATAAGAACCTAGAAGATCTTTTAAGAAATTAAATGAACTTTCTCAAGGTTCCAAAACTAGCTCTATTAATATTCTCATAATCTAGAATAAAATGTATTCTAAATTACCAGAAAGATACCAAATGGCGCTTGCTACCAAAAGGTTGATTCTATTTAATGTAAAGTTGAAAAAAAAAAGTTTTTAAAAATACTAAAAATTCTAAATATAGAACACAAGTTAAACTTTAATTTATTTGTTTCTTTTTAGTGCTAGAGATTGAACCCAGGTCTTCATGTACAAATGAAACCTTTACAAGATATTTAGATGAACCTCTAGTGAAAAATAACATCAAAATTATATCTACCATGTTTTTAATTACAAATTCACTAAACATCCATAGGTAGTGATTTCTAAGTAATAATATAAACTTTTTTAAAAATAAGATTATATTTTTCCTGGGTCAAAATTACAATATAATTCAAGTATTACATAAAAATTAAACTATTACTCACAGAAAGACGCTAAAGCTGTTGGATCCAGGGCAAAAAAATTTCGGATTGCTACTGATGTTTTAGCAAAGTCAATTCTAGAAAATACAAAAGCTTCTCATCACAGTGCAATTGTAAACTTTTAATAAAATTTACTTTTCTATATTTTTTTTTCTTTTTTATTCTATTGCCAAATATATTGTTTATTACTAGGCTTTACATATCTATAATTTATACTTACACAAGAATATTTTCTTTATAAAGGCCACACAAAATACCTAACTAGAAGGCTATTTTAGGAAACATTACTCTGCAGTTTAGACATACTGAAGAAACAAATTATACTTGATCTGTAAAATTCATTAGCTTCTACCTTTTTCTATTACCTATATCATTAGGTTACAAAGAGGGGTATATGTGCATTTAATGGATTATATTGCATTCCCTCCAAAAATATGGTGAACTCCTAACTTCTGGTACTTATAAACATGACCTTATTTGGAAATAGGGTCTTTGCAGATATAATAATGTTAAAATAAGTCACCCTGATTCAAAGACTGGCTTAAAAATGGTAAAGAAATACTAATATTCTATAATTCTATTTTAAAAACTGACATACTCAGAGACACATTTCTTTCAGCATTTTCTCTTGAATAAAAGTTAGAGGAATATTTAGTCACAACATCTTACCTGTCAAAAGCTGAAACTGTACTTAAAGCCAAAAGTAAGTAAAGGAGACTCTGGAATGGATACGCTAAGGTCTTATAGTGTTGCAAAAGGTTGGAGAGGTCAGACAGCTGATCTCCAGCTAGAACATATATCACAACAATATTCCATACAGCACAGCCAGCCAAGAAGCCATGAGAAAACAGACCAATCATCCTGCATGAAAAAGGGTTAACTATTATACACAAACTACTTAAGTAAAAGGCTGAAATATTTTTAATTTTTTTCACATAAAAGAATAAAATTTGACATATTATCAAAACTAAAAACAAGACTGTGTGTGTATGTGTATGCAAGCAAGTGTGTGCACGCGCTCAGTAATTGAAGCCAGGGCCTCATGCATTCTAGGCAAGTGCTATATACAGAGCTACATCTCCAGCCCCAAGCCTGTTCTTTTTCTTTACACTAACTGGCAAGTAGTTTAACTTTATTGGAAGGCTTAAAAAATAATTTTTATAACCCATTTTAAATTGCAATTACATTAACAGAATTAAACAGCTAAGACTTTTTCTTTCATTTTAAATTATGAAACCCAGTTAATATTTATCTTAAGTTCAATAAAAGCAGTCACCTAAAAGCTCGGTGTACTGAAAGTGCCACATCTCTGGTGGTCCAGGAAGGCTTCATGTCCATTGACACATCTATGTTTTCTGTGGTCTTGATCAATTCTGAACGATCAGCAGCCTGGAATCGCCCTAAACACACAGAATACAATTATGAAAAACTAGCAAGAGAGAACCTGTTATTCCATACTTAAGAAGCTTCATCCTAAGACTGAAATGTTGCTGTTTTTCTGAATAAAAATCTCTTTGACTCATACCTTTTTTTCTTTTTTGTGTGTATGTAGGGGGAGGTGTTACTAAATCATACAATTTCTTCATCTTTTTTTAAAAGATAAGCAACACCAATGCACTTCTCAACAAATTGATGTTAAAGTAACTATTTTAGAAATCAATTATATTTAATAATAAACTTTCAACTCAAAGTCTAAAAACCTTAAAATGACATAGTCTATAAAATTCAGATTCAGAGATTTAAGAAGTATTAAAGTTTAAATGCCTATACTATCAACGTTAAGTCAATATTTGAAAACCAATTAATTTCTTAGGAAAAGACACCAAGATGTATAGCATGGCTTCTGTAATGACAAAAAGAAATTAATTGTTTCATAAATTTATCTTAAGATTATCCAGAATATATCCATGGGAGTAGGACATGGTCATGATCACACTTGGGGCAGGATTTCTTAAACACTGTAATATGAAGTGAATATGTCCCACAAAATCCATAGGCTTGAGCTAAACCCCAGTGTGCTAGTATTTGGAAGAGGTACCATGGGAAGTAATCAGGCTTACATGAGGTCACAAGGGTGGGTCCCATGTTGGGATTAGTGTCCTTCTAAGTAGAGGAAGATATACCAGAGCTCTCTCCACCATATAAAATGACATCTGCAAGCCAGGAAAAGAGCCATCACCAAAAATAGACTCTGCCAGCACCTGTCTTGGACTTCCCAGTTTCCAGAACCATAAGAAATAAGTGTCAATTTACAGACTATAGCTCTGAAAATAAAGCATCTTATTTATTTTAAACCAAAAAAAAAAAAAAAAAAAGAAATAAGTGTCTGTTGTTATTGCAGCAGCCAAAGTTAAAATTAACTGCAAGCCCAGTTGTTGTTGTTCTGATTAGTTATGCATGAGAGTAGAATGCATTTTGACACATCATAAATAAGTGAAGTGTAATTTCTCATTTGTCCGGTGATATATGATATAGAGTTACAAAGGTCATGTAATCATATGTGTACATAGGGTACTAATGTCTGATTCATTCTTCTATCATTCCTACCCCTGTGACCCCTCCCCTCCCTTTCTTCCCTCCCTTCACTCCCCTTTCAAGTCCAAAATACCTCTACTCCCCCCTTATTGTGAATTAGCATCCGCATATCAGATAAAACATTTGGCCTTTGGTTCTTTGAGATTGGCTTGTTTTGCTTAGCATAATATTCTCTAGTTTCACCCATTTACTGGAAAATGCCATAATTTCATTCTTCTTTAAGACTGAGTAATATTCCATTGTATATATATAAACCACAGTTTCTTTATCCATTCATCTGTTGAAGGGCACCAAAGTTGGTTCCATAGTTTAGCCTCCTGCTTCACTTTTCTTGCTAAGGATTGCTTTGGCTATTCTGGGCTTCTTATTTTTCCAGATAACTTTCATGATTGCTTTTTCTATTTCTATGAAGAATGTCATTGGAAACTTAACAGGAATTGAATGTAGAGGAACACATTTGATTTATAGGTGTAATTTTTTTATCCTACTACTTTGCTAAATTCATTTGTTAGTTCTAGAATGTTTCTGATGGAATTTTTTGGATCTTCTAAATATAGAATCATGTCATCAGCAAATAGTGATAGTTTGAGTTCCTCTTTTCATATCTGTATCCCTTTAATTTCTTTCTTCTAATTGCTCTGGCAAGCCCAGTCCTATAAGCAGTACATGCTACACAACATCAGAACTATTTTTCCAAAAAATATATATTTAGCTACAAAGATGTATTTCTTATTCAATATGGTAGTATCATCATGTAGTTTCTCTTTTGTTTTACTTGAATTATACTATTACCTGCCCTACTACCATAACCACTACCAATTGACAAAAACTGATCAACAACAATAAAACATGAAGAAATGGTTGGGAATGGGGGGAGATATAAAAATTACTCATAACTCACAATGAACCAGCATTAATATTCTGGTATATTTCCTTCAAGTCTTTTGTCCTATGCATTTTTCTATATTTGAGATCAAACTGTGTATATGTATGTGGGAGATAATTTTTCATTAGAATCTTCCCATGAAATGAAAAATTCTCTATGAAGATTTTAATACCAAAAAATAGGTTATTATAGACAAAGCCTAGCCTTCTGAAGTCACTCCCCTTATTTTACATTTAGGGTTGTCCAGTTTTCACTCTCCTGATAAAGTGTGGTGATAAATTCAGTATATAAATTACTGTCCACATTTTTTTCAGATTGCAGAAATATAATTAGAAGGTCAAAGGATTTCCCTGCATAATTTTTAAAGAGGTAATACTACAAAATAAGAAACTACTTACGGCTTTTTTCCACAAATACTTTGCCTACAGGCTGGCTAATGCCAGTGGGTGCAGTGAATCTGGACTGCTGTTCTGGAGTTGTTTGCTCATCAGTGATTATGTCTTCATCTTCTACTCCTAGTTCATTGGCATACTGTAACTGCGCTTTCTGGGTTTTCCTATAATCAGGGAGAACATTAGGTTAAAAAAAAAAAAAAGATTCTTGAATTTTTAAAGAGTCCAAGACTTAGAGTCAAGAAATAGTTTTTTACTCAAATGAGTAAAACATTTCTCTGGACCTCAGTTTTCTCATCTGGAAAATGTAGATATTTCCAGACTTAAAATTATATGATTCCATATATAAATCAATCACTTTGTAGGATCACTTTCAAATAAAATATAAGTTACATAACTTTCAGGGTATTTCTTACATCATTCTATTTTACCCCAAGACAATCTCCTGTGCTAAAATATATAGTATTACTATTGCTAAAATAATCATAATTCAAATTCTATTAACACGAGGAGATAAATCAAATGGCCTAATTTATTACCTTTAATTTTTAATATCTAATTTTTTGTAATTTATATAAAATAGTCTCTATTATTTCTTAGAGATGACTCCTTAGGTTTTTATTTAAGTACAATATTGATTTTTTTTCCTTTCATAGTTTTTACTTCTTTTCAAATTTAACAGTAGGTTGGTCTGATATTTCATAATACTACTTATGCTAGAGATATACCAAAAAATATTGACCTAATAAGAAACTACCCTTGGTAGCTCTGAATTAAACATCTGAATAATCCTAAAGAAGATTTGGAAGGATAAATAAACTATTACTTTGTCTTCCTTCGTGGTTTTGGAATAACAGCCTCCTCTGTTGGCTCTGCATCAATACCATTTTCATTTCGTAATAAAGATGGATTAGATGTCTTCTTCTGAGTGAAAGAAGTCTCCAGCTCTGAAAATAAAATAAACTATATTTTCAATGACTAAAAGGTCACAATAAAAGTAATGTACAAGACTCTTGTAAGACAAGAGAATTTTGAAAAATTCTAAATTTTTTTTTTTACTCTTACAAATTCTTAATTTCTGAAAGCTGACATCTATAAATTCTCAACACCTAATTCAAGATAGGAATGCCAAACAGATGGAAAAGAGTTAAGTGATCTTAACACCCAGAGTTGGGTTATCTCCAGGTCTAGTGATTTGCTAGAAAGATTCACACAACTCAGAAGTCATGACATGCACTACTACAGTTTATTACAGCAAAAGAATAAAAAGTAGACAGTGCAAAGTCCAGACAAAATCAGGTTTAAGATTCTAATAGTCCTCTAATAGTAGCATCAAACAAGATGCATTAATTCCTCCAGAACTGAGTTATCACAACACATGGGGTCTACTCCCTGCCAAAGAGACTTAGTACCCAATGTTTTCATTGAGGGCTAATCAATAGGCTTAGCATATGCCAAAATTTCAGATTCCCAGGAGTTCAGCATAAACTATATTTCATGCACAAGTGCACAATGAGCTACCCTTATAGTTTTATGTCAGCGTAAGGAAGTGCTTACCATCTAAGTTCCCATATACTAAAGACCAATTTCACAAGCAAGCTTTGCTAAGAATAGCAGTATCAACTCTCTATGTTAACTCCTTTCTGCACCCAAGGTAGGTATTACGTTTAAATGAGTCAACAGAGACTTCTAACCTTCTAGCTACTCATCCTTCCTGGAAATACTGGCTCCCACAAATGCCCTTATATCCATTCAAATTCAATTTGAATAAAACAATTCCATCCTCAGCTGGAAAGACTATATAAGCAGTGGATCCTACAGTGATCACTCTAAGCAAAAGAAAACAAAATTTTAAAATCTTGCAATTCAGAAAGCTCAACTTGCAAGGTGGAGTACACTCTGGATAGTGACAGGTCTTTACTGAATCCAAGCTTAGTTGGATCCTGAGTTTTCTGAAATTGGTCATTTCTGTTACAGACATTTTTTTTTTGCAAACTATAAAACTTGTTATTAATATCCATCTTAATTTTCAAATCTGCCTGTCAATTGAATTACAAAAAGGGCAGCTTTTATTAAACTATATTTAGAGTCAGTGATAAATCATTTCACTGAAGTAAAACTCTGGGAATTGTTCCTGGTTTGTTTTTCCTTCTGCCCTCTTCTGCCCTTGCCTTTTCCTCATACTCCATACTCCAGGCTCCGTGGCATCTACTTCAACTTGTCTTCCAAAACTGTGCTGCATTCCCCTCTCTTTTCTATTATTTTTTTATCCTATTATTTTTTACTCCTATTTTTTTATCCAATCAGGACCTGCTATTTTATAAGAGGACAATTAATTAGGGAAACTAAATTGTAATAAGTTACTCACAGGGGCTGATGTTAAAGGACAGCATTAATCTCACAATCTTATGCTCTTCCCTTTGTTTTACACTAACTAAACCTGTTTTCTTTTTTTCTATTATAAAAGCCAGACATACCTCTATGTGAAAATTAGTTCAATATAAATGAAAAAAAATAAAATAAAATCACTTTTCCTTTTGAAAAACTTTCACTTTTTTATATACTTTTATTTTATTTGTTTATTTTCACATGGTGCCGAGGATTGAACTCAGGGTCTCACATGTGCTAGTCGAGCACTATACTGCTGAGCCACAACCCCAGCCCCAAACCTTTCACTTTTAACACTGCTATATTCTTCCAATTCATTGTATATGTGTAAATTGAATTGTGCGTTCAAAAAAAATTTTTTTTCAAGTCCTAACTCCAAGAAACTGTCAGTATAACTTTATTTGGAAAAAGGGTCTTTGCAGATATAATCAAGTTAAGATGAGGTGAGGAGGTAATACTGGATTAGGATGAACCCTAAATCTAATGACCCATTTCTTTATATTTATAGAGGATAATTTGGACCCAGATACTCAGGGGAAAGAGATTGGCATTTTGCTGCCACATAATGCTACAAAGACTCACAGAACTCGAAGTCATGACACACACATTAAAGTTTATTACAGCAAAACAATAAAAAAGTAGACAGAGCAAGGTTAGACAAAATCAGGTTCAAGATTTCAATAGTCCTCTAATAGTAGAGGATTAATTCCTCCAGAACTGAGTTATCTCAACACATGGGATATATTCCCTGCCTCAGAGACTCAGCATGCAAGAATGCCAAGGATTCTTAACAATCACTAGAAGCTAGAAGATGCAAGGAAGGATTCATCGTAGACCATTTAGAGAAGTGCAGACCTATCTGTGGACACCTTGATTTCATATTTTTATCCTCCAGAATACATTTCAGTTAAGCTATCCAATTTGTGGTAATTTGTTATCCCACCCCAGGAAACTAATCTGTTAAAAACAAAAAAATTGGAATCCTCCAATGCATAGTATTTTGTAACCTCTGTTTGGGATTTACCAATAGTCAGTTTTCCATATCACTGTTTCACTTTAACAATTCTTTTAAAGAAAGAATTGGTTTCCATTTATTGGCTAAATCGTGTTTATTTACAGTATCATGTTGTTAAGTATTTGGTTATTACCATTTTCTACTCTTAAAATAATGTTGCTGATAACATTCTTTCATTACCATAGCTATTAGGGTTGTTTTATTTCTAGCGATCTGGACAGGCTGTGTCAGTTTACACTCCCATCAGTGTTTGAGTCCATTCCTCTAAACACTGGGTTTTCTAATTTGAAAAAAATCATTGCCAAAAAGCATTACAAAAAAAAAAAAAAGATGATATAGTATTCTGTTTACCTTGTGAACAATTCATAGAATAAAGACTCAATAAGTGTCAGCTAGTGTTTTCATTATATTATCATTAACACAGAAGTTATGCTTTCTTTACTAATCTAAAATGTCTATTTCTTTTTTTTTTTTTTTTTTTTTTTTTTTTGCAGTACTGGGGATTGAAGTCTGGGTCTTTTTACTATTTTGAGTGTAAGCCTGGCCTTAAACTTAATCCTCCTGCCTAAGGTTCCTGCGTCTACTGGGTTTACAGGGATGTACCACCTCACCTGGTATCACTTACTAAATTCTTATGTATACCAAGATCTGAATTTTCTGTTTTAGTCCTAAATTTGTACATGTATTATCAAAAGAGGCCTGTAACATGTTCCTGACTGAAGTCAATGGAGTTGTAGTGGTAAATATTTTAAGAAAGAAAGCAAGAAAACACCTGTGAGAAATGGATGGGGGAAAAATGAGGGTAGATATGTTATTATCATACCCCCACTTATAACTGCTAACATATAAATGAAGAAAATAAAAATCATCCTTCCTTCTTAAAAATCTACCACTGTTAACATGCTACGTCTTCCCATTCTTTGTGTTTGTGTGTGTTTTCTGTGTCAAATTGTGCTCCCCCCAACCAAAAAAAAAAAAAAAAAAGGAAAAGAAAAAAATGTTTTCAAGTCCGAACTTCCAGAACCTATAAGTATAACTTAATTTGGAAATAAGATCTTTGCAGGGGCTGGGTTTGTGGCTCAGTGGTAGAGCATTTGCCTAGCATGTGTGAAGCACTGGGTTCAATTCTCAGCACCACATACCAATAAATAAATTTTTAAAAGATCTTTGCAGATATAATCAAGTTAAAATGAGGTAATGCTGGATTAATTTTCTTGGTTCTTCACATACCAAGAGGTAGCCTCGTCTTCCTCTGTCTCTTTTGAACAGGAGCCTCTGGATGCTCTTTGAGTTCATTAGTTGGTGGCTCAATGCCCTCAGATGATCTATGAACAACAGTCTCATCAAAACCTTCCAAAGAAGCACTAGCTACAGGGGAAAACAGAGCAGGAAAACATGGGTAACTTGAACAGAGATTAATCAGTCTTTAAAAGATAGGAAAAAGATTAACTAAAATGTTTCCTGCAAAGTAACACTCTTTCAGAATTGGGCCTCAAATCTTATTTTCTTCCTCCTCACTTGTAACTTTAGACTTTAAATTAAGCAAACATATAAATGATAAATAAGAAAGGCTGAGGAAGAAAAGAGTAGGGGAGGGCTAGAAAGAAGAACACTAGAAGGAGAGAAGGACAAAATGGTTCAGAATATTTAGAATTATCAAAAAAGTAAAAATATTATAAAAGTTGACACCATAGAGAGAACTCTTCTACTTGTCTCCTGCCTCAAGAATTTTTATCAGCCTCTAATCCTTCATTATTAACCCATAATGAAGTCATCACAGATAATTAATCAGATAACAGGTAATTTATAAATCTCTTTATTTGTTCATTCATTTCAATCTCTCCCCTCATGAAATATTTTAACAGGATTTCAATAATTTCACTTGACTATATCTGCTTGCCTATCTTCTTTACAAAAAGAAGAAATAGAAATGTATTAATAAGCAAATTAAAATATATAACCTCGCCAGTATTTGAGAAATGCAAACTAAAATAAACTACTTTTCACCCCATTGAATTAATTTTGAAATTAATCAAGTGAAATTTAGAAAATATAACACTCTCAAACTTTATTGGTGGTGAGAAAATAATTAATGCTTCGGTGAAAGCAATTTAGCAGAATCTATCCTTTCAGTACATTGCTGGAGCCTTGTCTCTACCTGATTTGTGAGGTTTGTCACATCTCACGTCCTGGGGAAACCTGTGATCCCATGTTAAAAAGAACTTCTTACCTAGTGTAGCTTTGGTTCTGGACTTCTTTCTTTTAGGACGACTTTGTGAAACATCATCTATAAAACAAAGAACATCAACAGAAAAGTCTACCTAAAATTCAATGCAGAGGAGAGTCAAAAGAGAACTGTTGGTTGGGAATATTTTCCCTCTCTTCCCTGGATCCAGCTAACTTCTACACATTAGAAAGGAAAGGCAAGAAATTCACAAGGTCAAAGAGAACCCATAGGGTGGCATCAGTAGTACACTGATCAGTAATGTCAGAAACAGTGATAATAGAAAGTGAGTTTAACAAACGTTCATCTGACTTCCAAGCCTCTTGCACTTAGGTGTGGCCTCTGATGGATTCTAGTCAATGGGCTATGAGTAGAAGGTATATATATCTGCCTCTGGTTCTACAACCCAGAAGGTGCCTGATCTTGTCTGACTTTAAAAGCTAAGCAGATAGACCTGGTTAACACTTGAATGGGAGAAATAATCTGTGTTACATGGAGGCCAAAACACTGAAAAAGTCATCTACTATATTAAGAGCAGCATGTTAAGATTAAAAAAACAAAAGATAGAAGTAACCAGAATTTCACATCATTAATGAAGAGGAAAAAGAAGGACAACTTTGTTGCCACAATGAACTTTGCAATTGACCTAATATTATTTCTAATAATCCTACATGATATTAAGTCACTGAGATTTGAAAGTGTAGCATGATCTTTCCTATGCTAACTAAATGAGGGGGCAAAAAAAAGGGCAATCTATCTTACAGTTATAAACTAGTCAACAGTTATGTTCTGGGTAACTTCTTTCAGGGATGAAGTGCTCTTATAATAAAGCAATCTGGTGTCATACATCATTCATATTTAATAAATGAAAGTCATGGAAGATGATTATGACTAGTAGATACTATAGTATTATCAATGACACTATTCAGATATAATTTTAAGAGAAACAAACTAAGAAATCAAACTGATTTTTATTTTTGTAGCGGGAGAGAGCACTTATTTTTGGGATATGGTCTGTGTTGCCCAGGCTGGCTTGTACTCCCAGGCTGAAGCAATCCTGCTGCTTCAGCCTCCCAAATAGCTTAGACTAGAAGTGTATATCCCCACGCCCAGCTTTCAAATTTATATTTGAACACCAAAAACTATATTTAGAAAATTTTATATTAACAGCAAACTAACTCACCTTGAACAGCACTTCATATGACACCAACCAAATTTAATCAGCACAACAAAGACAAAAAAGGAAACTATTAATTAGAAATTTATTGCATGAATGAAAACTGACTTAAATCATTACAAATTTAAAGTAAAAATGGTTTTTATAATGTCAGCTAGTTATAAACTACCTTATCAGTAATAACTAATAAGCCTTTTAATTGCACTGCTAATAAAATAACCCCCAAATTTTCCTGAATATATTCCTTGCTGTCTATTAATAAAGTGGATTAAGCAGATTAAGAACTCTTATTTGTCACTGACTAAAATCAGCTTAAACTCTGAGGAAACTATTCTAGCAAACAAAAGAGGATCAAAATTCTGATAAACAAAACACTAAAACATTCAGAATGAATTCATTGTTCTATCATGTTGATATTCAGGCTTTCAAATAGAATTTTTAATTATAACTGTTATTTTCATGATTCAAGGATTTTTTTTCCTTTAAAACTTTAGGAACCCTTTTGTTCAGGAAGTTTTCTCTGAAGCATCATATTTTTTCAATGGTACTAGTCAATTTTTCCACTTTACTCATTTTACATTTTTAAAACTCAGTAATGAAATTAGTGAGATTTTTACCTTGGTGCAGGTGGAAGTGCTCGTGGAGGACGCTATTGGGGAGGGGAAGAAAGAAAATTGCTTGTAAGTAAAATCCTGGAGCATCTTACCATCATGTATCTCAAGTACCATAAAGCTATCCTCTAAAAAGCCTATTGTTCAGACACAGCAGGAAAATATAATGGATCAGATGAATATCCTCAAATCTTTTGATATCTGTGTTCATCAGCAAAACCTGGGAGGAACTGATATAAATCAGATGGGTCAGTGTAAATTTGTTCTACCATTTCTAAATTTCACATAAAATTCTTTCCTTCTTACATTTCTTTCTGTCCACAAGCCAGGCCCCATTTTAAGCATTAGGGATGGGAATAAAAGAGAGATCACTGCTTTTCTGAGCCTACATTGTAGTGATTAAGCATTAGAAGATAAAGTTTATATAATAAAAATACACATTTTATGATAAAATATGTAGATATGTATATATCTACATATTATATATGATAAAATGTATATCTATGTATGATAAATAAACATATATATGGTTTTAAAATGAGGAGTGCTACTTAGGGAAAAGTTTCTCTGAGATACTTGAGCTAAGACATGAATGAATAAGGTAATGGGCAGCAAATGCTAAATCCTTCGGGCAAAACTAAGCAAGGCTGCAGCACAGTTATCAAGAACATGTAGAAAGGAATCCGATTAATTAGGGCCTTGAAGACAGAGGGAAGAAATCTAGATTTTGTTTGAATTAAATGGGAAGCCAGTGGAAGTTTTAAGCCACATGGTAATATGCTTTTTTTAAAAAAATCACTTTGAATACACAGTTTAGAATGGATTTTACTACCAAAAAATGGGGGTGGGCTCAAATATGCTGCTATACATGAATAAAAAAAGTGTGTGCAGTTCAGAAAACTGACTTAAATCATTACAAATTTAAAGTAAAAATGGTTTTTATAATGTCAGCTAGTTATAAACTACCTTATCAGTAATAACTAATAAGCCTTTTAATTGCACTGCTAATAAAATAACTACAGTTAAGAAGCATTCTGAAATCTTTCAAAAATAAATACAGAAATGCCTACAAGCGAATTTAATATTCCAGGCAGCTCATGCTGCTTGCAGAAGACACTGATTCCAAAGACTTACATTTTAGACACCCTGGTAGTCTGTCCCATTCAGCACACTACGTTCCATTTAGCAGTCCATTCAAACCCTAGTTTTAACACAAATGCTACAAGATTATGACAAGACAGGATGTCTTAATACTATTCCATAGTCAAAACTACAACTGGAAAAGAATGAGAGGGCAAAGTCTGGTGAAAGCACTAATCTCAAGTTCTATCCAAGGACCCAGAACCCTAGATAACTGCAGCATCTCAAAAGCCCCGCAAAAAAAATGACGTTTCCTCCGTACAGAAACCTAACCTCTAAGACCCTCGAAAGTAGATGGCTCAACTGAAGACAAAAGTCCTAACAGCTCCAAAGTTTCTAAGGCTCGCTTACCACCTGCTTCTTCCCCATTCCGTCTTCAGCCCAGCCAGCGGCCGCCGGCCCCGGGCGCAGAGCGCCACTCTGCCGCCTGGCTGCCTGGCCTCGCGCAAGCGCAGTGCGTCATCGAGCTGCGCCTTACAGGCCGTCCAGCGCCCGTGACCCCTGAGGAAGATGTGAGGGGGACGGGGGCGCTGGGACCTGGTTTGACCTTTCCAAACCAGCATTACGGAAAAGGGGCCTCGAGATCGCGGCCAAACTGCCCGGGAGCCGAGACTCCAGCGGGGATGGGGCTGCGATCACGGTTTCCCCCGTGGTTGGCTAAGTGCTTGCCGTGATTTGTTGTGGTGGGGGTAGGGGTAGAGAATAGGAGAGGAGTCCTTGTTTGAAAGGCTGAAAGGCCTGTCTGGGAACTCTCGGAACCCGGGCTTTAGCTGCAGCACCGCATCCCGCCCGGGGACGGCGAAGAGACGCGTCGTCATGGCAACGCGAACTCAGGCGTCGGAAACTTCCTGTTTGTTCCCAGCCCCTTCCCACCCTAGACAGGCTCCAGGGGCCGGTACGCAGCACTCGAGTGCAAGGCCTCCCGAACCCCGCACGCTGGAATCGACCCTGCCCCAGGATAGCTACTGCTTTAGGGCACCCTCGGACCCGCCAGCCCTAGGGGCAGACGCGACCCTCGTCCGCTCACCGGGTGGCCCTCCTCCAGAGGAGGCCCGGCGTCGGTCCTCATGGTGGTCTCCCCCGGGCTCCTTCGAATGCAGCGGACCAGAGCCTCGCTCCCCGCGACGCCGCGGCTTACAAGACCTGCGAGATGCTGGAGCTTCGTGGCACCGGGCGAGGCCGCCACCCCCTGGGCCAGATCCCCGCCCGCATTCGATTTGACAGGCGGCTGACTTAGAACGGAAGGAATCCGCGCCTGCCTGCCTTTCCATTAAGGCGGGCAGTTCTGCTTTTCTCCAAAAAAAAAAAAAAAAAAAAATCTGCTCACCCTCCATCCTACATCAAGTGTGGAGAAACTTTTTCTCAAAGAACAAACAACATAAAATCAAATCGGATCTCACATAAGTATTAAAAAAGACAATTTTTTTCGTAATTTTTTTTTCTTAGACATGTTAAGGGCTGGAATTGTAGCTCAGTGGTAGAGTACTTGCCTAGCACGTGTGAGGCTCTGGTTTTGATCCTCGATAAATAAACAAAATAAAGATATCATGTCCATCAGCAACTAAAAATATTTTTTTAAAGGAAAAAAATGATGCCTTGCAGTGGGAACTTTGTCTCAGTGAAGACAGACAGGAAATCGAGTCAAGGCAAGCAGGAACATACAGGCTAAGCTTTTATTGGGCCTCTACTTGGGAAGGGAGACACAGCTCCACAAGAAACAAAAGAAAAGAGCTCCTTTTATTGGCTCTTAGCAGAGATGGGGTTAGGAATGTTAATTGGCTTTAGAAACTCTTCAAACCTTGAGGTCACTTCTAGCATCTTTGCCCTGTGATAGGGATGAGTCGCCTGAACCACCTTGGTTGTAATGATAGTGGATAAATGAGGCACATTTGTTATCTGAAAATCTGCGAGTGAAATGGGACCTTTTAATGGCTGTCAGGCTATGAGCCAAGGCCCAAGAGTGCTTTTGCCCTTTATCCCTATGATGTCCCCTGATTATATCAGAAAGATAGCAATTTGTTATCTAAGTAAAAAAGAACCATAAATATTTTTGAATCATACACTCTGCTTTATAGTTAAGAGATTGGAGGCATGGTGTACATATGGAGAAAGAAAGTGATGCGAAAGATTAACAAATATACGGGCAGGGAGAACAACTGAAAGTCTCAGATCTAGAAAAAGAAAGAAAAATAAGTCTTTGGAATAATATCCTCATCTTATAGTGTTCTCAGATCTACAGATCTACAGGACTAGTCCATCATCTTTTCCAAATTTAGGCATACATATGGATGCTGGCTTTTAGGAAAATTTATGATTGTTATACCTCTGATCAGAAGAATATGTGTTCCTTGTAGCCTGATTCATAAATGACAATGGCATTTGTAGAAGTTTTGATGTTAGATATGAAATGTATATATTAGCTATTTTTGCTGATTTGGTCCAGTAGGCACTTTTTGTAAAAACAAATTTCATAAAACAAGTTTCATGAACTAAAAATACAGTTTCTGAAATTAAGTACTGTTTATTTTATTTAGGAAAGCTCTTTTTACCTGAAACTTAGACCATATGAAATCTATGAAAGGTTCTCATTTTCAGCAACTTAACATAATTCATATTTCTACCAATTCTTCATATGAAGTAAAGGGAAAAAATGCCTAAAAGCCAAACAGGTAAATCTGTGTAACCATACAATAACATATCTAACCATACATTTTTAAAAATAAGAATAATTAATAAACTACAGTACTTCACAAGTTGCATACATTATAATGGGTCAAATAATACTGTTTTAGATTGCAACTGTCATTTCAGATCTCTGAAACAAGGGTACAATATTAAAACTTCAGTTTTAAGCAGGAGGCTTGATTAAGACTCAGCATCGGTGGAAATCCATGTTGCTGGTACCCACTGAGGCTCTTCCTGAGCCTTCTGTACTGCAGACAACAATTGGGCACATGCATCTTGCAAGTTGTCATTCACAATCATATGATCAAAAAACTGGCCAAACTGAGTCTCTATTTTTTTGGCTAAATCTTCCATCTCTTGTAGGTCTTCATCCTTCAGAGAAAAAAATATATATATTGATGGCACAGACTTAGTGACACAGAAATAATACACAGTTTGTTATACTGTCACATTCAGATGTGAAGTAGTTTATAAAAACATGTTAAATAGGGGCTGGGATTGTGGCTTAGCAGTAGAGCACTCGCCTAGCATGGGCGGGACCTGGGTTGGATTCTCAGTACCGCATAAAAATAAAGGCATTGTGTTGTGTTCATCTACAAAAAAGATTCATATTCTCTCTATCTCTCTCTCTCTTAAAAAAAACATGTTAAATAAATGCCCTCTATTCTATATTATAAAATCTACATTTTTGACCTTTAGTCTTACTCAATGTTTCTCTCATCAGTATTGCAAATTTTAGGAATAGTTTATAGACAAATTACTCCTCAACTTTTCATGTAGACTTATTTTGTTCCATTATCTACATATTTGAAGCTCTCAAACCATATGTGGCATAAAACCAAAGGAAAATTACCCATTTAAATAAAATTTAAATGTAAATTTCAAATGAACATTAACCCAATAAGAATGACATTATTTTGCAGATACAAAATGACCACTTGCAACATTAGGGTAGTCTGACATATTCCTATTGCATTGGGCATACATAAATTACCTTTTGTTCTATGATGACATAATTTACCTATAATATTGTCTATTTCTTCCCTTGTGAAATGGTCCTTAAAAGAAGGTTATTTGGCCTTCATTTGTCCCTAATGCACTAAATTCATTGCTGTTGTTTTCTTAGTTGTCTACAACAATTAGAATAGTATAATTTGTTGCCAATGCAATCTTAAATGCACATATAAATGCTGCATAGAAATATGTGGCAGTATTTCTTTTTTTTTTTTTAAAGAGAGAGAGTGAGAGAGAGGGGGACAGAGAGAGAGAATTTTAACATTTATTTATTTTTTGTTAGTTCTCGGCAGACACAACATCTTCATTTGTATGTGGTGCTGAGGATCGAACCTGGGCCGCACGCTTGAGCCACATCCCCAGCCCATGGCAGTATTTCTTTATAAGGTAAATCATACTCATGATCCAGAAATAATTTTATTAATTTGTTTAGATGACTACAAATAAGAACACACTTTTTTTTGGAAGTGTTGGGAAGGATCCCAGGGCCTCATACATACTAGACAAGTGCTCTACCACTGAACTACATTTTTTTAAATAAACCTTTCCCTTTTTAAAACTTTTTAAATTTTATTAATTATTTATTTGTAGTTGTAGATGGAAAGCATTCTTTTATTTGTTTCATTTTTATGTGGTGCTAAGGATTAAACCCAGGGCCTCACACACGCTAGGCCAGTGCTCTGCCATTGAACTATAGCCCCAGCCCCTAAACTACATTTTTATTTTATTTTGAAACAGGATATCACTAAATTACCTCAAACTTGTCAATCTCCTGCCTTAGTCTTGAGTAGCTGGGATTACAGGCAAGCACCAACACACCCGGTGAAAACATAATTTTAAATGCCCAAAAGACTCAGAGAATACATTCGTGGACTCCAGTCCAAAAGGCAAATTTAATACTCATTGAAAAAATATGATGACAAAAATAGTTAAAAATAAAAGATAATATAAAGCCACTTTGTGCTTACTTTGGCAGCACATATACTAATAATATAATAGTATGGAGATTAGCAATGTCCTCTCTGCAAGGGTAACATGGAAATTTGTGAAGTAGTCATATTTTTAATTTCAGTTTAGCAAAATGAATAATATTTGGCTCTTTACAGTAATGTGAATATACTCAACACTATTGAACTGTACACTTGGTAAAGATGGTAGGTAGGTTTTATGTTGTGCATTTTTTACTTCCCCCACACACAAATAAGTATAATATTTTTGTCTAGGTGATGGTTGTAGGGTGCATACAACATGTAAAAATTCATTGAGCTGCACACATAAGATTTATACAACTTAATGTATCATATCTTATGACCCAAAACATCTCAAGTAGACTTAATTTAAATATACAGATACATGCATACATATATGTGTATATGTATGTATGCTTAGTTTCTCTATTATTGCTATCATCATTAATAAGAGTTTTTACAAGGGACTGGGATTGTGGCTGAGCGCTAGAGCACTTGCCTAGCATGTGTAAAGTACTGGATTTGATCCTCAGGACCACATAAAAATAAATAAGCTGGATATGGTGGCACATGCCTTTAATCCCAGAGGCTCGGGAGACTGAGGAGTGTTCAAAGCCAGATCAACAAAAGCAAGGTGCTAAGTGCTAAGTGAGACCCTGTCTCTAAATAAAATACAAAATAGGGATGAGTGGGAATGTGGCTCAGTGGTTGAGTGCCCCTAAGCTCAATCCTTGGTACCCAAAATTAATTAATTAATTAAAAGTATTGTGTCAATCTATAACTAAAAATATTTTTTAAAAAGTTTCTGTGAAATACCTCATATTACAAAAATACATTCACTAAAGCATTTTTAAAATTAATGTACAAGTAAAAATAAATGATCTGTTCAAAATATAAATATGCTTGTACATACTCATTCTGTTTGGCTTTGCAAACTGTGGCATGAGGGTCTTTTTAAAAAAAAAAAAAAAACTAGACCCCCAAAAATAAAAAAGACAAAAAATAAGCATCATAGCATTTACTAAATTTATTTAAATATCTATAAGTGATATCCAGTAAAAAAGAATAAATTATAAGGGCACTACTCATTAGGAACAAAAATTATATTCTTTGATATGGGGATCATGTAAAAGCAATACAATGATTTTTATTTTCTTTTTTATTTTTGATTGAACCATTCTGAGGGACTCTTGGGGAAAGGATCAAAGAAGGGGTGAGTAGGACAATGAGGTCAAGGTCTTCAGCTCAGCCCAACCTGGCTTGGATCTCCTGGCCTCATCATCACTGACAGAAATACAGTAATTTTTTCAGTTGATCTACCTTGAACTTCATGTCCACAAAGTAGTCAGTGATAATCTTGGCATTTTTCCGAGATTGTTTCATGCAACTCAGGCTAGATGGCTTTATAAATATAACATAGGGCTTCAGTTCACGGGTTCGAGCTGCCTGAATATCCTACAAAGAAAAAATTGAATGTACATTTAAAAACCAGATTCCTAACTTCCTAGAGTCAACAGGAATATTCTCAAAACTTCTAAGAAGACCAGAAATAAACTAGAGTATAGTCTCATGAACTCCCAATTCCTCAACTC